CACACACACACACACACACACACACACACACACACACACACAACCCTCTCAGTCCTGTCTTTATGGACGATGTGTTCAGGTCTTCTTGTAACTGACCTGTGATCAGCAGGAGCTCCGTGAACAAAGCTATTGTATCTGTGTAAAGGCCAGCGCCTGTTGCTTGGCATTATGGGAAACCCAGCATGGTGGTTGGTGCTGGTGTTTGTAGAATATTCTCCTGTGAAGACTTCCTGCTTTTCTTTTGCTCAGATTTCTTATGTTGGCCGACGTCTTGTTTTATAACAGTAGGACGGTTTGTAAGATTATAACCACGGTCACAGTCGGCATCGTAGGAGCACTGAGGTCATACAGTCTGATGTCAGATCCATAAACACGGGGCATGATTAGTATATTATTCAGTTTCTCTCATTTCTTTCTCTTATTTATGGATTCTACAATGACAAGGTTTTTGTCTTATTTAAAATCGTGACCCTGACTTAAATTCACTCAATCCACAAACCTCTTCTTTCCTACGAGGGACGCTGGAGGTCGGTCACAGTTGGGACGTACAGGAAGTCTTTAAAATGATTAAATGCAGCATTAAAGAACAAGGTTGTGTAACAACGCATTGTACCAATCAGGCACCAGTTTCTACACAGCTTACTAACTCTACAAGTTACACCTGACGTCATGTTCATCATGCTAACGTCACTGTATTAGTCGGGCTACAAAGCTTGTTCTGGCATAAAATGTTTGTTTAGTTTGCCTTGCAGTTGCAGCTCCTTGCCAGTAGGGGGTTCTGCAGCCCCCTCAGCACACCAACATCCTTCCATACTCAATTCTAGCTACAACCAAAGAACGATGTCTACAGATTGATGATGCATCTCCACTTCCTCCCACCATCTTCTGCTTTCGAAGACATTTGGAGTTTGTGCAGTTACGATCACGGAGTGGAGCCACGGTATCTCAGCACGTTTTTTTAACTCATCAAATAATGAATTAAAACCCAACCATGTCCATGTCCCATCTGCTAACAATGAGGAGACAGTTTTCATGACCAGGAATACAGCCAGCCACCAGGGGGCGATACAGATGCTTTGACGTCACTCTTGGAGAGCGTTCACATCGTCCATGTTTAAAATATAATCTACAGTGGTGCCTTGTGTTGAGTGTCCAGTTACATCACCAGCAAAATGTTAAAGATTGTATAACTGGAATATTCGTTTTTTTCTTGCAGTTACAGTCCCTCAACAGCAGGGGGTGCTGCCTCTCCCCCAGCACTCTTCCCTGCGTCCTTGTTCTGTGCCCCGTCTGTTCAGCAGGAGATTATGTCTGCGGATTAAAGGTATTAAACTACGAGCATAAAGAGCCACCGTGTTCATCAGAGACAAACACGTTAGCACAGCTGTCCTTGTCAGGACTGTGCACTGACTTCACTCACCTTAACTAGAGCTGGTTTATATCTAACACTAACCTTAACTACAGCTGGTTTATATCTAAC